CAGGGAACAGAGAATACCTCAGAAACTAACAAGTCTTCTTTCCTCAACCCTGTTAAAAACAGTATTTACTTTGCAGAGGTGGGGAAAAAAACCCCAGTATTATAGAACTATGGAATTTAGGGGTTGAAAAGGACCTTAGAGATCATCTGTCTCAATCCCCTGCCATGGACAGGGACACCTCCTAGATCAGGTTGCTCAAGGCCTCATCCAACCTGGCTGTGAACACTGCCAGGGTTGGGGCAGCCACAGCCTCCCTGGGCAACCTGGGACAGTGTCTCACCACCAGAACAGGGAAAAACTTGTTTCTCACATCTAATCTAGACTTTCCCTCCTTCAGTTTGAACCCATTACTCCTTATCCTGCCACTGCAGTTCCTAACACAGAGTCCCCCTCCAGCTCCTTGTAGGCCCTTCAGATATTGAAAAGTTGCTCTGAGGTCTCCACACAACCTTCTCTTCTCCAGGCTCAACAGCCCCAACTCCCTCAGCCTGTCCTCATAGGGGGAAGATCCTCCAGTCCTCTTACCAAGTTCGTGGCCTCCTCTGGACTTGTTCCAACAGTTCCATGTCCTTCTTATATTGAGGACATCAGAACTGTGTGCAGTATTCCAGGTGGGTCTCACAAGAGCAGAGCAGAGGGGAAGAATCACCTCCCTTGACCTGCTGCCCACACTCCTGTGGATGCAGCCCAGGATTTGATTGGCTTTCTGGACTGTGAGCATACACTGCAGCTCATGCTGAGCTTCTCATCCAGAAATAAGTTTTAGCCTTGAAAAGTGTTTGCTGTGGTGTCACACTGGCACCAAGAGGTTTGGGTCAACAAAAACACAGTGTTTGAACAGTGAATCTAGCATAAGAGACTACAGAAAGAAAAAAATAACTGATCAGTACAGAAAGGGAGAAATTTTGCCTAAAGGATAGAATTACAATTCCATCCAGTAGTGTACTGCCAATTCTCAAAATATGTCCAACACTTCATTATACCTCCAATTTTAAACTAAAAATAGCACACATTTTCTCCAAGTTATCTTTCGTACTCCAGCTTTTTGGACAACCATCTTGTAGAACTCTATTTAGGGACTACTACCTTGAAGAACACACAAATGATGCATTTTTCATTAAAGAAACTGCCTGTATTAAAAAACTGATTCAGATCTACTCACAGTTTAACAAACCTAACTTCACCTTTTTCAGTCCATTTGAGCCCTGTGCTTAAACAAGCACCAATCCATATCACAGAAGCTGGACACATCAGTTACATGACAGTATCAGAATCAGTTAGGTTGGAAGGGACCACAAGGGGTCATCTAGTCCAACCTCCCTACATCCCTGAAAGAGGCTTCTAAGGAGTTTAAAAAAGGTTATTAAGCTGCTTTACAGAATCCAGAAGTATGAACTTCAGTATGGTACATTAAAAAACTTACTCCAGCTAGTATGCACTACTGGTCCATCACAGAAAATGCACTGACGTCACAGAATCACAGAATCAGTGAGGTTGGAAGGGACCACAGTGGGTCATCTGCTCCAACCTCCCTACTCCAGCAGGGCCACCCTAGAGCACATGGCTCAGGATTGTGTCCAGATGGTTCTGGAATATCTCCAGTGAGGGAGAATCCACAACCTCTCTGGGCAATCTGTTCAGTGCTCAGTGACTGCACAGGAAAGAAGTTCTTCCTCGTGTTCAGGTGGAACTTCCCAGGCATCAGTTTTTGCTGTTACCACTTGTTTTATTGGTTTCCACAAGTGAGCAGAGTCTGATCCATCCTCTTGGCACTTCCCATTCATGGACTTGAATACATTAATGAGGTTCCTCTCAGTCGTCTCTTCTTGAGACTGAACAGGCTCAACTCCCTCAGCCTTTCCTCATCACTGAGGTGCTCCAGTCTCTTCATCTTTATCACCCTCTGCTGAACTTACTCCAGGAGCTTCATGTCCCTCTGGTCCTGAGGAGCCCAGAACTGGACACAATCCTCCAGGTGTGGCGTCACCAGGGCTGAGGAGAGAGGCAGGATCAGCTCCCTGACCTGCTGGCAATGCTCTTCTTAATGCATCCCAGGATTCCATTGGCCTCCTTAGCCACAAGGTCTTACCTCTTCTCTTGTTCCTCTTTCCACTGTTAATGAGTTCTCTATCTCAAGCATTACACCACTCTGGGCAAGAAAACCTCAACATATCCACCCAAACATAAATTTAAAGCATACAATCCAACCAGCAACAGTTTAGAAAATGAAAAAATCAATACATGTAGGTTTCATTACAATAATATCAGAGGAACCTGAAAAATTCTACTCCTATTTCTATCAGTTATCACTTATGCAAATGATTTAGTAAAGCAACATTTACATTCAGAATGTAAATGTGATTTCATATTGACAACCTCAATCACAAAAAATAAAGGAATGCACAAAACATACAGTAGTTGTCACGTTTTCACTTAGCTGCAGATATGTGTTTTACAGGTCTTTACTCCACTTAGGATGGTAAACGTTAGAATAACACAAAACAGACTCTTAAAAAACAAAGGTTCACCTGTAAAGCCATTGACATAGATGGCAACTCCACTGAAGATACTTGATGAATTCCCATCCCTCTGTTGCTGTATGGCTGACTCTGACCGGAACTGATCCTCCAGCTTCTTAACCTTTGCCGACATGTACCCACCCTAGTTTTTAATTTAAAACAGAAATAACCATGATGCAGGTCTGACTTCAATGTTTACATACACAAACTGGTCAATTCTAAGACAGGAAAGACAAGCAACAACTCTTCAAATTGAATTGGGTTGACATACAAAAGGGCTATTCTTTTTCCAGAAGAAAAATACCAAGTCCTCCACTCTAAATTCTTATCTAGAAGATAACTGCGTATTGTTACCAACACGGCAGGATTCATTTCATACTTCTTTTATCATTTTCTTATAGCAAAAGATTCTATCTATATAAAAGCTTCTATAGAATAAAAAGAAGAAATAAGGCAATGATGCAAAATCAGAGACTCATTGCCAAAATAAACAATGCTCATCAAGTTCCAAGTATTTCAGTTCTTAAATATACATGAGACAGGAGTATTGCAATTATTTACATAAATCAGGTGCCTCAGTTATTGTTCGTCCAACTACAGAATGTGGTGGAGACAACCATAAATAGTTTTAAAACTTATTTAGTTTGGTTTTTAAATGGTGACTTAAAGCTATTCAAGGGTCTGCACTTATTAATAATGCAATTTAGTGGATTATTGTGAAGGAAGACATCAAACCCTGGTTAATGAGACAAATTCCTTTTGAACGTAATTATGTGTTTACAAGTGAAGCAAAAGGGTTTATTTTATAGCATCCTTTCAGCATACATAACAAAACTGTAAACCCTTTTTAACCACAGAGCCATTTACCTCTCCTACAAAGCAAAGCCACTGGTTTTGCACATACCCATACTCCCCATCCGTCGCCTTCGGCAGCTCGTTTCCGCCATCCACCTCGCCTCATGCTGAAGCTTCTGCAGAGGAAGAACAATGCTTGATCAATTCAACGTTCAGCACTATCAGCAGTGGCATTTCAATGATGCTCTACAGGAACTACCACCCTTGCTCCTCAGTGTTGGAATGCGTAGTGTAGTTCCTGCCTTGTACCAGAACCCACACATAGACACATTTTGTTGTATTCACCCAGAACACAAAGAACTCATTATAACGTTCAGTTTCCATTACAATTTATTAAGTTCTTCCTGTTCATCATACATCACCTACAAAATAAAGGAGCAATAAAAGGTTCTGCAATACAAGTGTTAATGTTCATGCAAAATACTGCCCAAGTCAGGAACAATCTGTTATTTCCTACATACTATCTACACGCTATGATGCAGGCAAACACCTCCTGGTATTAAGACATTGGATTAATTTCACTGATGGATTTACAGCTACTCATGAAAGGTCCAAACACTTGTTGCTCCCGTATTAAATTAACTGATGGATTTACAGCTAATCATGAAAGGTCCAAACACTTGTTGCTCGAATGCAACACATCACATCGAAGGGATGCCATTCAGAGGGACCTTGACAGGCTTGAGAAGTGGAACAATGCAAACCTCATGGAGTTCAACAAAATGAAGTGCAAGGTCCTACATCTGGGCCATGGCAATCCCAGGCACAGCTACAGGTTGGGTGGGGAAGGAACTGAAACCAGCAGTGAGGAGAAAGACTTGGGAGTGACAGTGGATGAGAAGC